GGCGCTGGGCCGCACGGCTCTGCCCCGATACTTGCTGCATTAGAGACCGCTGCGCTCTACCAGGACGGCGCAAGCTACGGGGCTGTGCCCAGCGCCGAGCCCGCGGCCCGTGCTCTGCCGAGGAGCTCCCCGCGCCAGCCGGAGAGCCCGGTACCGGCCCAGCTCTTCCTCTGCCGGCGACTTGGCCCGAGAATTTGGGTTGACTGTAGAAATTAACTGTGATGCAGAGCCCTCTATGACCTGGCCTTGACTTTCATTGCCTCTCCAAAAAAGTTCTTGTTATCTGCACGTTTTCATTTTCACAGGGAATTTCCTGGTTTTGTAACAAGTCATATCAGAGTTGCTGACACGGCTGATTTACTGACCCATCTGTAAGAGCAAGCAACGCAGCACAGCAGGCTTGCAGGGCACCATCCGTGTGAAGCTCAGGCTACTGGATCCACTGAACTCTTCCGAGGTCATCCTGGGTTACTCAGCTCATCTCAAAATAACAATTAAGATATGTCAAACCAAATGAAGACTGACATTGTTCCTCGTACAAGTCAGAAGGTGCTTTGCTACTGATTCCAAGGGCTGCCAGATTAGGTTGTTAATAAGATTTGCTGAACCAGCATGAGAGCTAGAATGAATCAGGTTGCGTGGGGTGAGAGAGTGGGAACACAGGGAAGTTCATGGGAGTGTATCAGCAAGAAAACTGCTGCAGATTGCTCAGAGTTGGATGGTTATGAGCTTGCTGAGACAGGCAGGATGATGATCCAACTCAAACAATTCTTCTGCACCGTTGTGGGGACCAAAAAAAAAAAAAAATTAACCTCACTAATCCCTGCATGTATTGGCACTTCCTCATTTCTGCAGAAGAGAAGAACTATTCTGTGTATCTTAGACTGGCTGGCAATTGTCAGCAAAAGGTGGAAGCCTCACCAGAAAGTCTGCAAGACTTTCTCTTGGTTTCCAAACTAAGGTTATCTGAAAAGAAGAATTAAATATCTGAATGACTGGCTGCTTGGTAGAACCAAATCTCAGACTTGGTCTTGAGGCAAGAAAATACTCAGTACACCGTATCAGCCAATGTAAATCTTCACCAATTCCTGCACAGAATGGATGTAAGTGGTACCTGATCAGGAGGTGCTCACCCTCCACTTCCAGTGCTGGTCCTCATTCATCAAGTGTCTTCACGCAAGTCACTGAAGGTAACACTTTTAAAACTAGTTTCTGCCTTTCAATGCTCAGACTAATCAAACTTATTAAGCTTCAGCTGTTTTTTAGGAGGTGAGACAGATCATTGTACATTCATCCTGTACTCATGGGCCACTATGTGGGGTTGCTTTGGAAAAATTTGGTCTTCACATGTTGGATTTGCCACTCATAAAAGCCAAACAGCAGAGACTGTTGAAAGCAAGGAGCTAGGAGTATTTGTCATTAGAGTGATTCCATTACAGTATCCTCCACAATTCAAACTTGACTTTTATTTTTCACTGTGCCAGAAATGTAACACTGTAAAAGACATTAAACCCACTCTGTTGAAAACAACCATGTCCCTATCCGGACAGGAGCTGCAGCCAGGTGGAGTGTAGCTGCCTGACTCTGCTCCTCCCTGAGAGGGACATCCAGTGACTCCAGCATGAATTGGTATCTTAGATCTATCCAACAGGACACCCTGCGTCTTCCTGATAGGTGACAACATCTTTGCCTCTTGGTCACTGTTCCTATGTACCCATGTAACAGACGACCCCATTCACTGGCGGGATATATGCCACTGGTTGGATTGTCTAGTACATCTTTCAGCATGTACAGGAGTCCTTCTGACATCAGACCAAGGCAAGAAAAGGAGGATCTGATATAACAGCACCTGCAGGATTCCTCAAGGAAATGCATGCCAGTCCTTCTGAGGTCAGACTTTCTCCACTGACTGTGGTTTTTTTTCCATAAGACAACATTGGATGATCCATCCCTATGTCAGGCTAGGAAGGCCTCTTCTGCTTAAAAGCAGAGAAGGGTAGGAAGAGAGAAGGCACTTCAAGCAAGGTTCTGCAGGAGCACAGATAATTTCTGAATATCTGCACTGCCTCTTACTCATTTCTCTGTTGTCACCCTTGCTATGCCTGGGGCTATGGAAGCAAGAAGCCCTTTGTACTAGAGTCACTGCAGGGCCTTAAGCACCATCCTTGCCAACAGGAAGAGGCCACAGACCAGTGCTGAACAGAGCCCAGGAAGTGCAGTTCACTAGAACTCAGTGCTAGTCTTAACCAGTCAAAGGTTGGGCAATGACTCCACTTAAGGCATCTATCCACTCTCTCTGTTCCCTATCGTTCTCACATATAAACACAAACTGTCTCATTGGCGTGACCACAGTGATCGCTGGTTTCCTCTTCTTCACCCGGACTCCCTGGGGCAAGCCAGCTCGTACTTCATATCCTTCATCCATCCTTCCAATAAAAACCTGGCCCTGTGCGAACGCATCCTAGAAAGAAGGAAGCAGAAGACAGCCATTAGCCAGTGGACAGCGCAGTCCCAGCAAACACCCGAGGAGGTAGCGACCCACCCTTAGAGAGCTGGTTGGTGGGTGTTCAGAAGGAGCAAGGAAGGATATTCTTGTGGGTAGAGCAGTGCTAGGAAGCAGGATATTGGAGCTGCTAAGCCTCTGTTATTGGTATATGGCTCATCTTGCCTAAGGTTACAGGCAGAATGGCAATAGGGCTGGGACAGAGTGCCGCTACAGGCAGTAGCAGCTACTTTTAAAAGACTTAGGTCTTCCTCACAGCCACTGTTAAGAGCCAGAGTTGCCCAACAGCTCAGTTTCAAAGAGATCCATTGACAAGAGAGATGAGCTCGTGAGACTGAGCCTGATTCAGTCTTGCGCAGCCATTGAAGAGCTGGATGAGAACAGACTCTTCCTCCCCACCCAACTTTATGAAGGGGCTTGTGGAATAGCGAGGAACACTCCTCTTACCAGTGGATTTTTAAAGTACATCAGGTTCCTTTCTTGGGAATCCAGGCAAAACCAGCGCACCTTAAAGGCCTCCTTCTGCTGCAAGGAGATGGTAGAAGTTCTTTAAAGACCAAGTCCCAAAGGGGAGCTTGGCCTATTCAAGGCAGATCCATGGACTGTTTAAATGACTCAGAGCTTGAGTTCAGTTTCACTAATCCCCCTAACTGGTAACGGGTGAGTCACTGCTGTGTGCAGCCCTCAGCTCCCTTCTCCTTGGGTTCACGCCAGAGATTTGCATTCAGTGACAATCCTTCAGGGAAGGCAGGGAAGTTTGGTTCTACCAGTGATCAAATTACCAGGATTAAGGAAGTTGCAGCAAATGGATTAATTTGGAAAAATTAATGGAAAAATTTGGAAAAATGGAAAGCACTGCAGAGAATGATCCCTGGGACAGTGGCTACAATGGAGAGTGGGCAATCAATTTCAGCATTTTGGTTTGTGGGGTTGTCCCTAGCATTGTGGGATGCACAGTGGTAGGATGGACAAATGGTAGGTTTTTGAAAAGTACTAATTCCATCAACTACACTCATCTGACAATTCCCTGAGCTATTCATTGGTCTGTGCTGAACTTAAGGGTCCTCTTCTAGGGCTTACTCCAGTTTTAGCAGAATTTAGGCCTCAGGAGAAAAACACACAATCTTTCGTGCTTGTAGCTGTGAGTATTCTCTGTGTAAGTACCTGCAGGAAGATGTACTGGGACACTAGCACTGAGCTGAGCCAAAACCCCATCATATTCAATATCAGCATTTCACCACTGAACTTTTTAATGGGACTTTGGCTCATGGTTCACTCAGGGGAGAGCAAGGCAAGAAGTGGCAATGTTCAAACAAGACCTCAGATCTTTATCTCCTTCATCAGAGCCTGAAATCTCTTCTCTCCTTTTCCAAGAAGTAGTGGCCCAAAATACTTTGCCACAAAACACAAACCAAACCATAGGCTTCACTGAGGAGAATTTGCTCAATCGTACTTTGCTGCTATAAGCAGATGTGACTTATGTGCTACTGACTTTAAGAGAAACAAGGAAGTAGGGGAGTCAGCATGTGATGTTCTGTTCTAGCAGGAGCTGCAGTTCTAGAGCTGCAATTAGCAGATACAGCAAGCCATTTAGTGTTGCGTAACAGGACTTTGCACGTCCACTGCCAGCTAATCCATCTCTCTTACTCTTCAAGGAGGATTCTTCTTCCCAGTCTTATTTTCCATACAAAATAAAAAAATGATCCCAAAGAACACAACAGGCCTGAATATAATGTCTTTTATCAACCAAGGAAGCATATAGCCACTCAACAAATTGTTTACTAGTAAATATTGTAGAATTATCAAATATTTTCCATCTGGAATAATCCTGTTTGTGTACTGCCAAGTATGCACTTACTTTTGGTCCTGTTTTCTCCATATAGCCTTCTTTGACATAATTTCTTGTGATCCTGGGTATGAGCTAGGAGAACACACAAAAAAAAAGTCTGTCTCATTCATGCTTGCTTTTCTGTTCTGTTTCTGTCAAAGCTAATCACCATCAATTTTGGCATTTGGGGTCTGGCGTTTTTTTGCCTGCTCAGTAAAGGCAAGTCTGAAATAAGAAGGAACATAATGTTTTGAAAGATTACACTTTGTAAGGACCACATGGAGACTTTTAGACCTTAAATGTTGACTACATTTTTGCATGTTATCCAGCATGGCCTTTCCTTCTACCTCTTCTGTCCATTCCCACGACCCATATGCTCCTGTTTGAGTACCTGACTCTGGCAGAAGAAGTCAGAAAATGTTTACCCATGCTATGTTTGCATAGAGTGCTTCAAGCCCTGTTCACTTCTCACCTCAGGCTCAGGAACAGCTGAGAAGGTTGTTCTGAGATAATGGTAACGTGCTGCACGAATGGCATTGAACCAGTCAACAATCTCCTAGGGAAAATGGCAAATACAAACATAAAGAGAAGAATAACAAGGAGTAAGAATGCTGTTTCTCCAAAATGCTCTTCTCCTTCCTTGTGACCTCTTTGCAAAGATGTACTTTCTCCCCAAGGGGCAGAGAGAGTCAGTGACTTGTCCCAGACACCTGAAAAACATTGAGCCTCCAAAATTTAAGACTGCCCCTCCAGGGAGGTCCCAGATGTTCTCAGCATGGACAGTCACCCAAGTCTGTGTACACAGGCTTTTTCAGTTGATTCAGTCATGGATTTTTTAAAAACCTTTTTACATGGAAAGACTTGAGAACTATGGCAAGAGAAGAAACAGAATCTAAAAAAAACATGTAGACATCTTAAAATTATCATTGTTTGGTTGAAAATAATGCAGAACAACAATATTTTCTATGCATGTCAAGATGGCTTCAAAGAATATAACCACAGAATGGTATAAAACCATTAGACAGTTAGTTACCTTACAGAGATTTACATACGTGCCCCACTGAAGCCTTAAGATTATTCAGGGTGTGAAGTTGAATATATGCCCAACAGAACAGGAGCAAGATCTTAGTTATTTGTGTCAAATTCTGCAACCTTCTATATTCTACAAGTCATAGTGACTTCAAATAAAACGAGATCCTGAAGAAACAGGGTATCTCTTCCAAAATATAGATCCAATATCTAAGCATCTTGCTTATTCCAAAATCTCCATGGTATTCACCTTTCCACTTTCATGATAGACAAAAAGGTTCCTTGTTTGACCATCTGTGTTGTATGTGATCTGCAGCCCATGAGCATGTTGGATTTTCTCTGTCTGGAACATTGCATTCAGATTCTCAATGCTGATAATGGCTTTTGGACCTCTGGACTGTAAAATGAAAAGCATCACGGTATTAAAGTGCTCTCAGGGAAGGTAATGGAGGACAGATGAGCTGTATGAGAACTAGATCCCTACTGAAGAGAAAGCAGACATCCTAAAATACCTTAATATTAGATATACCTGACATATAAAGCCTTAATTACATGCTACATAAAATCACTTACAAAGAGTGACTACTTTTCCTTGACAAATGCTTGGTCCCTATTTGAAGAGGGATGTGTCTGAATTGCAAGGGATGGGTTCCATCTCCAGCCTCATAGTTAGAGAACAATTAGCTGCACGCTCCCACAGAAGGGAGACGTTGAGGATGACGCTGCAGCAGTTTGATGAGAGGATATTTTGGTAATGCAAGAGGTAACAGCTGCTAACAGATCTCTTCTTCATCTTGCTATTCAACTGCCAGTGTCCATTTCCTTTGTTCACTAAGCAAAAGGAGGCTGCAGGGTTAAGATAAGTGATGAGGAAAAGGGCTAAATCCAAAAGAGCAATTGCCTAAGTTACCACATATGTTAATGGGGAAACATCTGGGCTCCTCCAAACACGGGCTGGCCTGGCTGCAAAACTAGAGACAAGGCTGGTTTTCGCCCATGAAGGGCAGGGTCTGAGGATGAATGTTGACCAGCTACCTATGGCCAATGGATGAGGAACTCACTTCTTTGGTGTAGTACTTCATCACCCCTTCCCTTGCTGATAGAAGAAATCGCCTCTTCTGGAACTGTCTGCTTTCCCGCCCACGCTTCCAGAGGAATCCTTCACGACTACCTGCAGATTGGACCAAGATAAGTGTCAGAGAAGGGCAGCACTATAGCAGGACTGTTTATCTAAATGGTGATGTGGCACAGAGTTTCAAGTCTCTTCGCCATCTGAGAATTTTCACCTCATATGAAAAAATCAGTGGAGAACTAGAGAACTGTAAGATCTGAATACACCCTTGCACTTGTCTAAGTGCCTTTTCTTAGGAGCTTCTTCTCAAAGTTAGACTTAAAGCAAGGCCTGCACATCCAACAGTTCAAATATGACAAGCCAACCTTAAAGATCTTCAAAGTTGCAAACAGAACACTGTGCTGTTGGCCTTAAGGCTAACACCTTTTCCCTGACAATCCTAACTTTTACCTGCAGAACAAGGATCTTGGCAGACTCGGGTGGCAACAAATTCCTCACGCTCATATTTAGCTCTAATCCATTGCTCTCTTAAAACCCTGAAAGAGGAAAACATGGATAAAGCTGATCTGCCTCTACTCTATTTTCACCATCCAACCAAAAAGACCTGTAGGAGGAGGAAGTAGTTCAATAGCTGTAAAGGTCTGCAGCAGTGAATACACCATCAACTTACAAGCAATCACAGGACTGGGGGATGTAATAGTAGGGAGGGACTTTTGCCTCGTATTTAGCTTTGGCACAGAGATTCCCGTGTTTCTTCATAAACTGAAATACAAAAGAAGTTACAGTTAGGTGTGCAACTAGGAAACCTATACCATGTCATGAACATAAAATGAAACTTTTATCAAAGGGAGCGCTGCATTTTCTGCTTAGTCTTGCCATAAGTCTCAGTGCATCTCTACACATGTTTATAAATTCCCTTTGGCACTACAGTTTGCACTTTTTAGGTGGCTGAGCCTTTTTCAGTATTTACAGTTCTGAACCAGATGGGAAGGAATGCAAGATTGTGGTTGTTGATTAAAAGAAAAAAAGAAAATGAGGAGAAAAATTATTTGTTTATGATCTCCCTATAGCTTCATCTCCTGCTGGACGTTAACTGATTATATTATTAACACAACTCAATTGAAAGATGAGAGGCTGAACCAATATTTAAGAAGGGTATGTCAAATACTGAATAGAACATAATCTCTGGAAATATCTGTGGGCTTCTAAACCACAGTGAGAAGTTACTGTATGCTATAAAAAAATATACACTGCAGGCTGTTAGAAACATGGTCACCTTTCAGTGATAGATCAGTAGCTCATAGAAAAACCAAAACCTACAGTTACCCATGGAGTTAACTTGGCTCTGTGTGGCTTTGTTCCTCTGTCCATAGTGGACGACACAGGGATTACGAGGCAGAGAAGGTTATGACAAAATATGGAGAAAAGTAAGTGAATTACTGCTTTTCCTCTGTACCTCTATAAGATCGTTCTCCCAGAAGTCAAGCCGAAGGGATTTGACCCTGCTGATTTGAGGAAGGTTGCGATGGATTCCAGAGCAATTCAAACAAATGAATATTCCAAGTTTGTAAGAAGCCCACTCTGGATCTAGATACAAACACAAAGAATGAACTAATATATGGGAAAAGGCACAGCCACCAGCAAGGGTGAAAAAGCACATCTGATGCACAGCCCAGGCGTCACACATAATACATCAAATTCCACCCCATTGTTTATGGCTGTCACTTCACTGTGTTCAGAGGAACAGCACTTGCCTTCCCCAATGAAGAATGCGGCCCCTGCGTTTGTAGGCTCTTTCATGAACTATTTGTTTAAAAATTAATGTGACTGTGCAGGCAGCTGAGTGGTGATGTAAAAGCTCAGCTAATTATTAGTTCTGCATGGAAAGCTGCTGTTGCTGAATTAACAATGGAAGGATGTTGCGGACAGCGAGCACCACTGAGAGCACACAGAGTACAACCACCCAGGGTGAGGACTCATGTCCACTGCCCATGGAAGCTCTTGCTCTTGCCTGCTGCTGCATTCCCTGAAGCGGCCTGGACAGGTCGACACTTAGAGGCGTTCTGAGTGCGCTGGCAAGCCCGTTTCCCTGGACTGCCACTTTCACCACGTCGTCCCCCACTTCTCCCTTATTACATCAAACAGAAGCTACTTCTTGTCTTCCAGCTGCTGTAGGCTACCGATTGACTGCTCGCTTCGGTGAGGGTGACTCCCACCTTGAAGGAGCACAGGCTGCTAGCCCGGTGCAGGCTTTCCAGCAGGATCTTTGGTGCCTTTCTCCACACCAACCCCAGTGCAGACACATCCCCCCC